GGAATGGAACGGCGTATATGACGGTCACAAAGGATGCACAGGGTGCGATTGAGCAGCCGGTTCAGTTGACCGACAGAAGACATGATAGTATGTTTACATTTGATTGACCGTTATAAAGTGAGTCCACTTTATAGCACCTATACACTACTTGTCGCTCTGTTTGTCTCCTATCTATGGAAGCGAAAGAAAATATCTTGTGCTTGTCGAGTTATTTGAGCACTTGAAACTGCAGGGTGTCGAATATTTCTACATATACGTCAGAGAATTAGATGATTACTCGCAAATGGTAAGTGCAAGTAGTATGGAAACTTTCACGATAATTTCTACACTTTCAGCTCCTCGAGGACTACATTAGGGAGGGACAAGCCGAAGTTACAAGTTTGTCTATCAGACACGAATTCATTTTCTGCCCTCAAATAGTTGCTGCAACGGTACGGCCTATCTCTTTGTACGGAGCTTTAATGCAAGCGCGTAACGGATACACAAGAAATCAAGGTATTTCAGGACTGCTTGCACAGGAGTCGTCACCATTCTAGTTATGTTCTGTTTTCTGATCTCGACGAAAGATTCTTCTCTCCCAAAGGCTACACTATAAAATCTTTTGTTAAGTCTATTTTGCTCTTCTTTTGCGAAAAATCACAAAAGTATTTCACATGTATGGGAAATTGTACTCAGGGAAAAATTGCAAAATGCACCAGACAAGGGAGCGTTACGTTTTACATCAAGATGGGTTCTTCGAACACCTCCGCCTCAATCAGATTACCAGGTAAAAGAAACTCATCAGATTAGGTCGATTCAGATTCTGAGGTAGATACTTTGCAAGGGAGAGGAGACGCTGAAGCAACATTTGCCTATGCTTGTTTTCCACAACAGTTCCGCAGTTCCTAACACAAGGATTGTGCAGAAGTTAGTCTTGGACCCCAGGAGAGTAAGTGGCAAAGTACGTTTGCTAAGTAGTAAAAGAGAACATAGACATTTACTTTAGGTACTGATCATTTTTGT